AACAGGGCCTCACTATATTGCCCAGACTGGTCTTCAGACTCCTGGCCTCAAGCAGTCCATCTGCCTTGGCATCCCAAGGTGCTGGATTATAGGTATGAGCCACCACACTTGGCCTGCTTTGTCCTTGACAGTAGGGTTTTTTTGGTATTTTAAAATTTGTGTGTGTGTGTGTGTTGTAATTTTTTTTTTTTTTTTGAGATAAGAGTTTCACTTTTGTCAACTAGACTGGAGTGCAATAGCATGATCTCAGCTCATTGCCGAGCAAAACGTCCTTCTTTACATGGCAGCAGCAAGGAGAAGTGCCCAGCAGAGGGGGAAGCCCCCTATAAAACCATCAGATCTCATGAGAAGTAATCCACTGTCACAGTCAAACTGCAACCTCTGCTTCCCAGGTTCAAGCAATTCTCCTGCCTCAGCCTCCCGAATAGCTCGGATTACAGGCACCTGCCACCACACCCAGCTAATTTTTTGTATTTTCAGTAGAGATGGGGTTTCACCATGTTAGCCAGGCTGGTCTCAAACTCCTGACCTCAGGTGATCCATCTGCCTTGGCCTCCCAAAGTGTTGAGACTACAGGCGTAAGCCACTGCGCCCGGCCTGTGTTGTAATTTTTTATTGAGTTTTGGATGCAGTGTTTAGAATAATAAGGACTGAGTTCATTATTATTTATGCCTGGAAATTGTCATATCTCTTCTTCTCTTAGGCCATTAGTGTGGGGGATTTTTTTTTTTCAGAAGTTGAATTAGGTTTGAGTTTTGTTGTTTCTATGATTACTTCAGTGTCTGTATCTCCTACAAATTCTGTACAGTCATGCTAGCTACACTGGGTCTTTAGTAATTCCATAAACATTTTGACCTGGCATGTTGTCTTACACCCATAATCCCAACACTTTGAGAGGCTGGGACAGGAGGATCACTTGAGGCTAGGAGTTTGAGACTAGCCTGGACAACATAGCAAGACCCCATCTCTACCAAATAATAATAATAATAATAATAATAAAATTAGCCATGTGTGGTGATGTGCATTTGCAGTCCTAGATACTTGGGAGGCTGAACTGGGAGGATACCTTGAGCTCAGGAGTTTAAGGTTATAGTGAGTCATGACTGCACTACTGTGCTTAAGCCTGTGGACAGTGTCAGACTTTGTCTCTGAAAAATAAAAACATAAACAGTAGCTGAACTGTTCTTACCTACTTGCAAGGAGAGCTTGTCTTTCTCTTGCTACACAACTGAGCGAGTGCCTGCATCCCATCTCTTCTTGGAGGCTCCTGTCCTTCTTTGGAATGCAGGTTAATTGGTTGCTCTGCAACCTTAGGTCTCTGATAAGTTTGACAAAAGCTGTGGTTCTGTAAATTACCCAACAATTTTTAAAAACTGTTACTAGTTCGATAATGATGCTCTTCCTAGCTTTCTGCATCCTAGGTGGAAGCCGGAGTCTCAAGCCATATACCTTTTCACAGTGCTATTCAAACTTTCGGCCACCCACTCCTAGTCTGCTGCTTGGGTCTTCCTTTTGGGTGACACCCTTCCAGCTTAGCCCCCTGAAATATTTTCAGGTTAGATGTTTTCCCCCTCTCTATTCCTTCTTTATGGCAAATATCTGGCAAAGAGAAGGGACAGAGGTTCCTGATCTTTCTTCATCTTGGGCTCAAAATAATCCATGGATTCATGTTCTCAAGGATACATCTTGGCCGGGCGCAGTGGCTCATGCCTATAATCCCAGCATTTGGGAGGCTGAGGCGGGCAGATCACTAGAGGCCAGGAGTTCAAGACCAGCCTGGCAACAGGGCAAAAACCCGTCTCTACTAAAAATACAAAAGTTAGCCAGGCATGGTGGTTTGCACCTGTATTTCCAGCTACTCAGGAGGCTGAGGTGGGAGAATTACTTAAACCCAGGAGGCAGAGGTTGCAGTGAGCCAAGATCGTGCCACTCCACTCCAACCTGGGCGACTGAGTAAGACTCTTTAAAAAAAAAAAAAAAAAAAAAAAGATACATCTCTGAAAATGGGGACATGACTTTGGGAGTGAGCTAAGTTCTCATCCACTGTACTCCTGACTTGGCCCTCATTTTCTGTGCTAGAAAATTGGATGAAGTATCTACTCTATCCATTAATGAGAAATAAGAATCAAACCAACCCACTGAAATATTTCTTAGAAGATTAAAACTACAACAGGATAAAAGGGGATCAGACTGGGAGTAGTGGTTACAAGCACAGTCTCTGGAGGCAGTCTACCTGGGCTTAAATTCCAGGTCCATCACTTACTAGCTGTAGGGCCTGGGACAAGTTCCTTCACCTCTCTGTATCTCAATTTCTGTATCTGTAAAGTGGAAACAACAAGAGGATTAAAAGGGTTAATTTTTGTAAAGCACTTATAATAGTGACTGGCACATAATAAGCTCTGTGGAAGTGTTAACAATTAGGGCTTACTTCCTATAATTTCAGAAATTTGTGGAAGAGAGCAGTTCCCTCCCTTTCTCAGAGCCCATTACAATCAAAACAGCTAATGATTACTGAGCATTTCCAAAGTGCCCAAGTCCTGTAACTAAGCATTTTATATAAATTATCTCATAAGAGGGAGGGATTAATTATTCCTATTTAATAGGTAAAAGATCAAGGATCAGATAAGTGTTTACCCAGCTGACTAGAGGCATCAATAGTTTTACAACCCAAGAGGGTCTGACTACATTGCCTGTGCTCTTAACCATTGCATTTGTTGCTTCCCACAAACCAGTTTCCATGCTTATAAACTAGTGGGAAAGTTGCATGCTGTAGTTATCTCACAGGGTTGTTTTGAGATCCCAATAATGTTAAGAGGCAGTGCTTTAGATATTTGTACAGAGTGCTGGTCACCTGACAGGGAAACCTGAATGTGTCAATATTTGTTCACACTTCCCTCCCTCTGCACATGCCCTTCTCCCTCTTTTCTGCTTGTTGAACTCATGTCTTCAAGATTCAGCTCAGATATCAGCGTCCAGATTTTATTCTAACAATGGAGGAGTTTAGGCAACACCGTGTGGCGGGGGGCGTGGGGGGGCACACCAGACTTGTGTTCTGAAATGACAGCTGAATTGCAATGCAGGGAATGGAGTGTAGCTGGGCCAGAATGAGTACAAGAAAACCAGATAGAAGGCTACTGCATTAGGAGCCCAGGCGGGAGGTGGTGGGGCAAACGGAAGGAATGGTGGACTGGAAAGATATTTAGGAAAGAATCGACAGGAAATGGAGGTGTATTTTAATATGGGCAGCGAGGGAGAGGGAGGTGGCAAGGATGGCTCCTAGTTCCTGGCTTGCTCGCGGACGTTTGTCGAATGAATGATCCAGTGACCCCAAAGTAGAAGTATCTCAGAGAGATCTCCCCACTCCCCTCCCCGCACCCGTCACCACGCTGCTTTCGGAGCTCTGACCGTAAGGGGGTGGATGGAAGGGAGGAGAAAAGGAATGGCCAGGGAGTCTTGGTCCAGGAGCTGCTAGACTGGACACTTCTAGCACTGGTCTGAGCCAGGAGACGCTGCGAAAAGAGGGCAAACGTTTCTCCTCTCGCGGTTGCCGCCTGGCCCCTCCAACCCGCCTGGCCCCTCCAACCCGCCTGGCCAGCAGTGCAGCGCCCCTCTTAGCACCGTG